GTAGGGGAAAGGTGTGGAACCCCCCACATGTTCAGACCTGAGTCCTGACCAAGGTCCAAACTAAGAAAACCTGGTACTTAGATTCTAAGTCTTGAGGAGAAAAACCAACTCCAGTCTCAGCATTATGCTCCCCCTAAGCAATTACCAAGCAGACTTAGAAAAGAAACCCAGCTCCTTGGGGCCTGTCTTACAAACTTCACACCATCCCATCCTAAACAAAATCGTTCCTCCACTCCTCCAATGTCTCTGGGTGGCGCAAACAGTTTGCTAGGCTGCTAACCGAAAGGTTGGCAGCTTGAACCCACCCAGAGGGGCCACTGAAGGAAGACCTGGCAATCTCCTTCCATAAAGATTACAGCAAAAAAGACAAAAACACCCAGAGCACTTCTATTCCAACACATGGGCTCACCATGAGTTGGCAAAGTTGTGAAGTGCTGTCCAGTTCTTTCAACTCCCACACCAGGAGTCAGGTTTGGTCTCCCCCTCCCCCACCCCAGTCCTCTACTTGCAGAACTCCTCAACCTTTAAAGGCCCAGGTAGTTTCAAAATCTAGAATGTAAATACCAGTGGTGATCTTTGTTTTGTTTCTAGAGTATCCCAAGCACTTAGAACACTACCTCCCACAAACTGTTGTTGTGAAGTGTCATGGAATTAGTTTCAACTGATAGCGACCCTGTATAAGGTTTCCAAGGAACAGCTGGTGGGTTTGAACCACCAACCTTTGGGCCAGAAATCAAGTACTTATCCTACGGCACCACACCAGGACCCCAGCCACAACTAGGCTCTTAATTTTTTTTCAAAGCCTGACAGAATGGATAAAATGTACCACCCCAGTCTGCCCCAAATGAGCCCAAGTGGCACAGTGACTGTAAGCATTGGGCCACTTACCAAGGAGAGACATGTGGCTGTCTGCTTCCAAAAAGATTTACAACCTCAGAAACCCTACACTTTGTCCTACAGGGTTACAGTGAGTCAGAACTGACTAGAGGGCAGTAGGTTTTATGTTGTTTTTCTTTTTTTTTTAATAGCCTGTCCCAACTACTTATCAAACCCTGTGAGTTTCCAGAAGGAATAAAATGTTTGACCTCCAAAACAACCTCCTCCCCGCCACCACACAAAACCCAGATGTGGTGGGCACCACACTGCTGGTAAAAAGCCCCAACACGAACCAAATTCCTACTCTTTGGTTCTGGAGTTGAGAATGGTTCAAAGAATTATGGGCACCATTCTTTAAAGTTACAACTAAAGTATAACACATCGGTGTCTCCTGAGGAGGCAATCAATCTTCTATGGTTATTCTCCAACCTGGCTGAACATTACAACATTCTGGGGTGACCACTCTGCAACCCAATTACACTCAGTCTAATTAAATCAGCTCCTCAGGGTGGGAACCAGACACAAGTATTTTAAAGGTAGTTCCAATGTGCTGCCATGTGTTTGAAAACTGCCTCAACACTGTAGGATCAGCACTGGACTTCGTTCGAATCATAAGGCTGTTGGTTCAAACCCACAAGCTGCTGCTCAGAAACCCTGTACACACAGGGTCGCTATGAGCGGAATCAACTCCACGGCAATTAACAACAACTGAACTGGCCATTCCCTGGCCAAGGGCTTGGTCTTCTGGGTGTGCAGAGAATAAGCCTCTGGGAAGAAAGATCCTGAGAGCCTTTCAAAGATAAGATCTTCTACAGTGTCCTCCTCCTACCAGTATTCTCATCCCCAACCTTCCAAGCCACGTGCAACGGGCTTCAGCGGCTGCAAGGGGTTGCAGCCACCTACCTTAAGGCCGCAGGTTTCCTCCTCTAGAGAAGCCATTTCTTCTGGAGAGGAACTGGCAGAACGCACCGGGGATCCCACAGCAGAAAGAAACCCCGTGGTGCTCCGAATCAGGCAGCCTTTGGAGAGGGCCCCGCCCACACCTGGGCCAGAGGAAAGGGAGGGGCCAGAGGAATTTCCTTGGCAGGAGGAGCCCCAGGGCAACCTCTGCTTGCGGATTACATCTTCCTCCTCCGCAGATTTCAGGCGCTTGGGGCTGCAGGCCCTTCCGGAACTCGAGCGGCGAGCTGACCGGCTGGAGGGGGCCACATCATTGGGCTCCCGAAGGCAGCTGCGTTTGCTGGGCCACCCTTCCGAAGTGCTGCTCCAGTGGTACTTGACCTTGCGCCGCCCCGACGCCATGGGAACCTGCAAAGAAAGTGGGGCCTGGACTCACTCACCACCACCACCCTACCTGGCTGCCCCACCTCTCCCAGACCCCAGGGAAGACCAGAGACAGGGCTGGCCTCACTGACCTTTCCCCCTTCTTTCCACTGCCCATCACAGTTATCAAAGGTTCCTGAGATACCAAAGTGCTTCGGATAGGTCAGAGGGTTCCAAGATTGACCAAAGGCTTCCGTTCGGTTACCAAAACCGCGACGTGTTTCGGAGATTACCCAGCGCTTCAGTTCAAGCAGCGCGACTTCAGAGATGTCAAAGCGCTTCCGGGACGACAAAGAGCCTCGATTTAGTTTGGAATACAAAGCCCTTCCGAAATGTCAAAAAAAAGCTTCCAAAGACCACAGTTCGCAGGGCACCCAGATGCGCAGCTCCTGGGGTCGGGTGCGCAGCCGGGAGGCCCGGGCTGCCGAAGGTGGGTCGGGAGGCAGGGCCGCCCCGGCGCAGCAGCCCGCCCAGTTCACCAGCCCCGGCCGGAAGGAGCCCGAGACGCCGTTAGGAGCCCGTGCTGTCCCGTCTGCCGCCTTAGGGGCCCCGTCCGTCGCCTCAAGGGCCCCGCCCGCCCATCCCTTATGCCCCAGACGCCGCGGCCCAGGCTACGGCTCCACCGCCCCCACAGACCGGACGTCCCTCTTGGCCGCCTGATCGCCGCCCACCCCACTCCTGAGACTCCAGTCTGGCCCCCGCCGGAGCTACGCTCACACTGGTCTGTGCCGCACACCCGGAATGATGCCTGCGGTCCGCAGCCGGGCGAATGCGAGGGCGGGGCTTGCGCCGAACGGAAGGCGACCATTGCTGGAAACTGCCAAGAGGTGGGACTGCGAGCAAGACTGAGCTCACTTCTTGGTCGGGGGCTTCGAGGCGGGACCTTAAGCCTTATGAAACTCATCTATTGGTCACGAGCCAGGCGGGGCGGGGCCACTCACTGTGCCGGAGGAGCGCGAAGATCGCCAGCCAGCGGAAGTGCTTCTTGCCCTCCGGGTTGGAAACCGCAGAGCATCACTTTCCTAAAGGGCTGCTAAACCGGGTCCTAGGCCCGGTGCCTTCGGCTCCCGATTGCTTACAGACTCTACACCTAACCATACCCATTTTACAGAGCAGGAAATAGGCTCAGAGAAGTCAACTAACACACCGATTGTTGTTGTTAAGTGCCATCCCAATTAATGTTGTTGTTAAGTGCCGTCGAGTCGGTTCCGGTCGACCCATAGCGACCCTACATTGTTGTTAAGTGCCATCAAGTCGACTCCGACCCATAGCGACCCTGTATAAGGTTTCCAAGGAGTAGCTGGTGAGCTTTAACCTTGTGGTTCAAACGACTTCGCAGTTCAGCGCATTAGCCCACAGCCCCACATCAGGACTCCCCCCCTATATAGGGCTTCCAAGGCTTTAAATCTTTGAGGAAGCAGAAAACCTCATCTTTCTCCTGCAGAGCGGCTGGTAACCTTGTGTTTCGAAGTCCAGTGCTTGGCCTATGGAGCCACCGTTCTCCCCACACTTCGAAAGTGGCAAAATTGAAATTAGTAGCCCCAAGAAGCAGGGGGCATGGGTGAGGGAGGCGTGGTGGGGGCATGAAGAGGGTGCATAAAAAGATAAAATAACCGCCTGGCAAGAAATCTCCAAGTCAAAAGATTAGATACAAACTTAAAAAAATATTTGCAACATGTGACAAACCGTTGATGTCCTTCCTTACTATATAGAAACTTTCACGTTTAATATTCAGTATTTTATTTAAGGGGGAAGACGTTGTTTTGTGCCATGGCGTTGGTTCCGACTCCTACCTACCCTGTACAGGGTTTCCGAGGCTGTAAATCTTTACGGGAGCAGAAAACCTCATATTTCTCCCACGAAACAGCTGGTAATTTCGAACTGCTGACCCTGAGGTTAGCAGCCCTATTTGTAACCACTACACTACTTGAGAAGGATATCATGTTTGGTAAGGTGAAGGGTCAGAGAAAAAGAGGAAGAACCCCAACGAGGTGGATTGGCCAAGTGGCAGCATCGATGGACTCAAGCATGGCCAACAGTGGTGAGGTTAGTCCAGGAGTTCCGTTCGCTATGAGTTGGTGCCGACTCGATGGCACCTAACAACAACAACAACACTACTAGATTTCCTTATTAAGGGGGAAGACATAGGAACCAGTAATTCCCCAAAACAAATTATGTAAGGATATAATGAAATAGAAGGAGCTCTGGTAGCGTAGTGGTTACGAATCGGGCTGCGAACCTTAAGGTCAGCGGTTCGAAACTACTAGCTGCTCTGCGGGAGAAAGATGAGGCTTTCTACTCCCTAAAGAGTTACACCCTCGGAAACCCTGTACAGGGTCGCTATGGGTCGGGACCGACTCGACGGCACTTAACAACAACAACAACATAATGAAATAGGAGTCCTGGTGTGCCGCTGTGGGTTAATGCATTAGACTGCAAAGCCATTTCAACTGCAAGGTTGGTAGTTCAAGCTCAACAGCTGCTCCTCAGAAACCCTATATAGGGTTGCTATGTGGCGCTGTGGGTTAATTCTTCAGACTGCAAAGTCGTTTGAACTGCAAGGTTGGTGGTTCAAGTTCACCAGCTGCTCCTTGGAAACCCTATACGGGGTCACTATGGGTCTGAGTCGACTTGACAGCACTTAACAACAGTGTAGGGTCACTATGGGTCGACCGGAAGCAACTCAATGGCACTTAACAACAACATAATGAAATATGAAAAGATGACTCCATCTCAGTGCTTTAAAAAGTACAAATTATAATTTTCACCCATTAGCAATGAAAGCTCATGAGTGGCCATCTAAGGTGCAGCTATTGGTCTCTCGCTTTCAAAGAAAGAAGAATGGTAAGAATTGAGGACGTTTGGAATCAGTTAGTCCAATGGAACATGTGCGTATCTGTCTCCACGACTGAGACCAGAAAAACTAGACAGTGCCCACCTACCACTACCAACTGCCTCGAAAAGGATCGAATTAGAGGGTCCCCCATAGAGTAGCAGAATATGCGGAACAAAGCTCAAAATTATTTAAAATCAAAAAATGGATTTGCTACTCAGAAAGAGATTGGCGGAAACTGAAACTATGGCCCTTTGCCACCCTTCAGGTCTAGAAGAGAACTTAACCTTACTGCCCTATTTTCAGCCAAGCAGTAGATAGGGTTATGGTGGGGAATAATAACACTAGCAAGGTGTGCTCACCATGGAATGGTCATTCAAAAGCAAAAGGGCAACATTTTCCTAAGGACAAAGTTAAGAAGAAATAGGAATCACAGGGAAGATGCAGGATAACTGTTGTTACATGGACTGGATTCCTAGCGTGGTGCTGTAGGATCAGTATTGGACTGCAAACCACAAGGTCAGTGGTTGAAACCCACCAGCTGCTCCTTAGAAACCCAATACAAGATCACTATGAGTTGGAACCAACAAGAAAGTGTTTAACAACAACATGGAGGAGATTGTATTATTAAGATGAAACAAAGTCTATGATTTGTTGAATGTAAAACTGATGATCTGTTCTGTACACTTTCACTCATTACACAATAAAAAGTTACAAAAAAACACAGATA